CGCGGAGTTACCTGACAGTGCCAATCGTGTTCCGAGTACGCTTAGACTGCCGGCTAGTATACCTAAACCGTCCGAAGAATACGTCTGAGCAATGTTTCAATGTTAAATAGGAATATAATGCAAGATGTGCTTTGAAATTGACTGTTAGGAACTCTGAAAAGGAACGTAGTATCTTTTTCATATTTAAGAAAGTGCCGAAACGGAAGTGCAACCAAAATACCACCTAGAGTGGAATACGCTTTAATTGCCAATCGTATAGGCCATAAAGAAAGGAACACGAACGATGTAAAGATGGACACTTATAGATTTTTAAGTAATAATGTCGTTACATTTTCCTGGCTCAGCGGTACTGGTGTTGAACCGAGAATGTAACCGTCGTCTTGCCATAATAATAGGAGGGATCGATAGCCTGCTCTTTTTTGTATTGTTGTATTGTTTACGAAAACTCTGGTGCGCGACGAAATAAAATTGTGAATTTGTAAATAATTATTGACTATTTAGGAACACGAAATATAGTGAACGTATCATTTTATCATCGGGGCCGCAATCGCCTCGTAAATACTTCATGTTTCCAATTCGCAACGAATTCTATTTGAGAATTCGTCGCCGATAAGAATAGTTATTGCGCGACTGTATCGTCAATCATTAGAAACAAATAGACTGGAGAATGTTTATGCATTTACAGGAATATGTAAAACATAGTTAAAAATTGAAACGAATCTCTTTGAACTGTACTTGTTCAGTTTATGAAGATACGAACTTGCATAAACATTCACAGCCTGTGAACGATTATAAAATACCATCTTCCTTGTACATAATACGATCGGTGCCACATAATATTGATACAGTCGCGTAATACCGAATGAAGGTAATTAAGATGGGAATTAAATGGTTTAAAAGGACGTAAAGGGAAAACAACGTTTCTTTTTTTACGATTTTTTGCGTTCCTGATGGTAGCCGTGTCGTAACGTCTACAACGATTATCTGTTCAACGTTCCCGAAAATCATTCATTCGAACAACGAGGATGTTGAACAGTGTGCATCTACCAGACTGATTTTCGTTTCGAAACTCTAACATAGATTATCATAAATAGCTATCATCGATCGTCAAAATTTTGTAAATTACGCGAAACTCTGTCCGTTGTAAATATATCGTACGACTGATCTGTACAAAATGTGTGAATGATGCGCGTGTACTACTCTATCATCGATCGTATTTGTAATAAACAAGATATTTGTAAAAAAATTAATTGTGTTTAATCATTACTTCCTATCAATAAAAATCGAAAGCTTGATTTTTCACGATCGTGAAGGGCTCTTCGTAACTTCGATTGTGAACGTACTGCCGAGTCTCTCTGTCGATTCGATATTTGTCTCGAAGACAGGACAATTAAATGACCGTTTGAGAATCTACCGCTGCGAATGAAAAACTAAATAAATAAACAGGAAAACGGAATTATTACGAATCGACATTTATTTAATTACTTATTAAAATACAATCGATTCGGTTAGAATGTTCAGATAATGATATCTTCATTTCCGTCATACGACGAAGAGCTTCTGAACAGCGCATATGCGAACATAAGTTTAATTGCTGACAAAGCGTGGACCTTTGACAAAGAGGATCCTTTTCAAAAGTTGAATCAATCTTTGTGGATTCAGGTAAATGTTGCATAAAAAAATTACATATTCATGACGAATTCTCTCATGCTTCATATATTAACATCAAACATTAACCCACTAAGTCCCAAGTAGTGAAATAAAGCAAATTTTATACATGTAATTATTTATTACTTATGAAAACATGTAAGAAAGGATATAAATATTATCAAAGAATTTTTGTATTTCTATTTTTTATATAATCTAATATTGCATTTATGATGTCTACACTGTGAGGAATACACTGTAAAAAAATGAGAGTAAAGAATGTAGATTAGGACTTATTTGGTTCAATTAAGAAGTACAAGGTTTAACAATTGTGCCTACGTTAGATCTCTAAGGTGATTGCAAAATACAAGGAAAATGGTAACCATCGAACGAAACGTGTCCGTGACATTATACCCGGCTCCCGTTTGGCAATCTACGGTAATTACGAGTACAACGAAGAACGTGAAAGCATGTACAAATCGGACGACAACTCGAGTTCTGTTCCGCTGTCGAATTTCTGTTGGACGGAAGTTACTGAGCCATGGATGTTACCGGAGGTCGAAAAACACTTCACCTGGTTAACGTCGACCGGATCACGATCGAATCGTGAATTGTTAGCCTCTTAACGTTTAACCAACTACGTAATTATTAATAATAATAATTAAACGATCGACAAATCTGTGTTAACGTACGCGGGGAAAATTGATGTTGCAAAGCTCGGCAACAAGAATACCGGAACCCGACGATGGATCAAAAATCGGATGCGGATTCAAATCGCATTGGGAGGACTGTCTGCAAAGTCAGCAACACGCACAGAGATCGAATCTAACAGAAAAAAAGATCAGGGCGAATCACGAACCGAGCAAAGAGGCGAATTTAATCGGTAACTATAGAACACTAGTCTTTAAATTCGAACAGAACTTCCTCAAATAATTCAAGTGGCACCTTTTTCAAGAGCCGGAATCTACCGAAAAGTTGGACAATTGTTACGAGTATCGACGTTACGCTATCGAAAACTCTTTGGAAATGCAATTGCACGTTCGCGTGACCAGTGAAACGGTTCGAAATCTGTGGAAAATGGGTAACAGCATTCAGCAACAATTTACTCCACAGCGAGTGCGTGTGCAATGCTACCAGCTGCAGCAACCCCGCGAACAGAATTATCAGAGCAAAGAACGGCAACAGCAGTTCTACTACACGTTTCAATATCGACCTTTACTGCTGAGAACGGAGTATCAAACTGCGAGAACTGAAACCTATGGGGTGAGAAAACACCTACCTCCAGTTCTGAGCCCGGAGGTACCTGAATTTTTCCCGAAGGTGCCAGTGACACGATTTAACAGTAGCAAGGACCAGAACACTAATCGCGTGCAATACTTCCCTTCGCTCAACGAGAGGAGCTACCAGAGCGAATTGTTCCCTTATAATAGGGTACATGAGAATACTGGAGCCATATATCAGGTTCAACTAAAACTTTATTCGACCGTCTGTTGCTCGATTGGCTTCCGAACCCCTTCAAATTATTTTATAAAATCGTTAGAGGTACGTGGCAGGAAAAAAGAAAAACACTCCTGATTTTCAGAGTACTGGAATACCATTATTACCGATCACCGACGCAGCGTCATTCATTCGACCGCCGCAACAATGGTATCAAAGAATTCCACCACCGACACAGATACAAATATCCAGCTCATCGATAACACCGATGTGCACATCCATACAGCCTTTGCAAGCTACGACGCATCATTCTCTGCAGGTTCGAAATAAGATTGCTTTCAACGAGGCACGAATACCCGCTTTGTGTTAAAACGTTGCTGGAACTATTGGCTCTCCCGTTGAGTCGTTATTTAATATGCGAATGATGCAAATATTATACTTAGGTGCAAGAGAAAAAATTTCTGCAAACGAATCCTATACCGATACCGGTTTATCAACACCCCATAGAACTGTATCACGAAACGGGGCAAAAAAGAAAAAATCAGGGCGTTGATTTTAAAAATTTGATACTTCTAACGAAAAGTGCAATGAAGGCGCATCGTGGCCAATCGAAGAATTCTCAACAAAAGCCCTCGTATGTTCTCGAAAGCAAGAATCGGGGAACTAAATCAGAATCGGAAGTTCTTCAGTGGCTGGACAAAAGTTGTCCATTAAAAACAAAGGAGTTTACCACGAACACGAACACCTTTGTAACAGAATTGAAGAACTTCGAAGGGAAAAGCGACGGGAAAGCATCAAGTAGTTCCAGAAGAGAGAAGGATAACTCGAAGAGCACCGACCGACTTAAATTGGAAGTCCAGGGATCGAAGATAAGCAACGAAAGAGATAAGAACGATACTCGAAACAGAAGAAGACTTTACAGAGACGTTCTAACGAATGCGTCAGCGAACCAAGCTTTGTTGGAGAACGTATTCGAGAAAAGGTATGAAAGTTATAATACATGCTCTGTAAAATAAATGAAAAATTATAAGAGTATGCTAAAAAAGCATATGCGATCTCTTGATACAAGCCGCACGATGAATTTAAATGAATAAATAAGCTAGAAAGAAAGAAAGAAAGAATAATGTTCATGGCTTTGTTTTCTATTAAATGGGTGAATGCTCGCACATTTTTAGCTTGTACCACCAGATCGGTGACATCTTGTACATGTAATGTACAATTGATTGACCGTATCGTATTGCATATAATTTTATTTGGAATATTGGAACATATATGGATATATATTTTCCGCTTAACGCTAGGTATGATGAATTGGAACAACAAGCAATGGAACAGTACAGAACTTCGGAAGAGTCTCTGGCGCTTAAATATCAAGTATAGTAGTTAATTTTCGTATTCCCTTACCTTGAGTCGTCGTTCGCTTCCTTCAATCGCTGATCATCTTTCAATTTGGCGTATACAACACATAACATACAAGCGATAGGTTGACTCTCGCGATAATTTCGCGATATTAATTAACGAAACCTCATTTGAACGCGATACATGAAAACCGATTAATATCAAGTATATAACATGCAATGAACACGATGAAAACGATTACACATTATTGGATATCGAACGTTAGCACTAAACATATGATCTCGCATAACCGGCATGACACGTAAATGTAAATACTTGCGAAAGGCAAGAACTGCGCCATCCAAGCGCGTGATACGTAATGAGCTTATAAGACCGCACAGAACCCTGGAAATGTCAAAAACTGTAGAAACGTCCTTATTTCATGCGTATTATAGACATTCGTATTCCAAAACAGTCGTCCATCTGTTTTTACATGAAATTACGGAAAAATTTTTATGTTTAATATCGAGGTCTTTCTCTCTCTCTCTCTCTAATTGTAGGAATTAGAACGGCAAGCGATGGAACAATACAAATGTGGCGGAAATGCTCAGGAAGAAGCGTCTACTTCACGTCAATCTGTGGACGCTAAAAAAGTCGAGGGCTATACGAAAAATTTTAAAGACGATAACTGCTTAGACGGACAAAAATGTTCCGGTTACGGGCAATGCAGCCCCGTAAACACAGACGAAAAAGAGGAAAAAGGTTTAATGATTATTTTCATTAATTAACCACGCTTTCTCATTACTGTAACGATAAAAATGTACAGTATTGGTCGGTTGATGATTCGTAGATTCGTTTCTACAAAGTCAAGGTAATCTCGCGCAAGTAGAAAGCAAAACAGAACCGAGTGACGTTGGTCGATCGTTGCCTGATAAAAATAGTCGATCTATCGTACTTTCAAAAAGTTTGACTATGTTGCCACAGAAAATATCTTACGGATCGAAAAACACAGCTATGGGTGCATCAGATGAAAAAATCGATAAAAGTGGTAAATATTCTGGATTAGTCCTGCTGGCCAAAACAAGATATAGCCTTTACAATATCGTGCTTTATTTCTATAATGAATGCCATGAAAGAAATGTGCCAGTTTCAGTCAGGGCATCGTCAAAAAGGCGTCTGATACTGGTGTCACCCTTCAAGAAAGAATCAGAAGCCAAACTGACAAGATCTACCGATCTAGAGGAATTTTATTGCATCGCACAAGCAAACAAAAATATCTTCGGTTATTACAATAACTCAAAAGTCGGACAAATTGGCGGTGGAGATGAAAATATAACAATTATTCGATCTCCCAAAACAGAAGGTAACGATCCCTTCAAAATGAAAAAACTGTAGGCTAATGTTTTTTTGCTATTCTCTTTTCTCTTAGTATGGCTCTCAGGTTTTTGGACCACATGAAGATTGACATTTTTAGGAAATTTCTCGAGGTAGGAATGAACCTTATCACGGGGTAGATTCACAGAAAAACTCATTGCACAATACACGAATTCATGTATTTGAACATTACAATAAATGTTTCTAAAATACTGTATAATATACATATGTACGTTTAATAAAAGTTACAAAATTCTTTCTAAACACACACTAACGCAAACCATGTTATGTAGACTCATACACATGCTTTATTTTGTTCATTATTTCGTCTCTTAGAAAAAGAGAGAGCAGTGACGCATTATTCTCACTTATTGTTATTATTCTATAAAAATTATATGCTTAATTATTGAAGTTGGATAGCAGTCTATATAAAATTCATTATTGTTCACTTAACGAACGATACTATTAACGAATCATATTGAATATGAACATAAAAATAAAGTGAAATAGCCTCTTCAGTCTTCAGTTAAATACTATTTATATATTTGTCTCAATACACTTCTACTAAAATATTTCATATATAGTAATAATACATCGTAAAATGCTTGCAAAGAAACATATAAAACGTCGGAACACTTATGTTTGAGCTATAGCAATGAAAAATTTACATACATATACTATGCATATTTGTTAAGCACAACTTATTAATATGCATAGCTTCTTTTACAATCGATACCATCTTTATAGCAAAATTATTTCACGAAAATTTAATGCGAGATCATAACTACCATCATAGAAAAAAAAGAGGTATACATATTTCAAGAAAAAATCTATACCGGTATGGCATTTTCATTTTAGGAACTAAAACTGTATAAATACTACGTAACGTAATCTTGTATCAATAATTGATAGTGCACCAATATGAATGTAATTACGCGAAAAATCTGTCTTAAAAACTTTACCAATTATCCAAGAATTCGAAACCAGTTTTCGGTATAGATCTATCCTCCTCTTCCTGGTTCAATTGGGAAGACTGGAAACTACTGTAAGAGCTTGGCGTCTCTAACAATGCCGTTGATTCGTTAATGTCACTCGATTTTGTACGCGACATAACTACTAGCGTATTTGATTGACTTTTATCAGTATCCGAATCTCTCTCTCTAACTAAGCTCTCCATATCGTCTGCCAAATTGTTTTGTAATTTTAATAATGTCGTTTTGTTCATTAATTTGGCAAAGATACTTTCGGAATGATCGTTGTCAACATTGCCGTTTAATAAGGTATTACACTGTTCGTCGTCGAAAATATTGCTCGCAAAGCAATCGGACTGAAATCGACTGACTGCATGAGATGAACTGAATGGGTCGTTAAGGGAGTTTGAATTGTTTCGCTGCGGTTTGACGGGGCTTGAAAAATGCGGCGATTCCCCAAATTGAGCCCTTATTAATTTGGACTTTGTGTCTTCAGTCGAATCTGTTATACTGAGATTCATTTGCGACTGAGTCATAAACGAGAATGGAGCTGAATGTTCATCACGCCATCTCAAAGTCTACAATATTGTACTGAATATGAGGAATTGTATAAACCAATACACTTAAGGCGAATGCCCGAAATATTTCTAGGAATTCTAGATTCTAGAATAAATTATATAATGTTAGTATTAATTGTTATTAATTTAAAGTATACTTACAGAGCCAGTTTCATCAATCACATATTTCATTCCAGTTTGAATTCGTAGCTTTGGATACCACTCTGGTAACTCTTTAGTAAGATCAGACTTTTTCAAAGTATACTTTAATGCAACTTCTGGTTGAATTATGGTCTCATTAATGGCTTGATTCTTCTCTGCTATGCTTAATGTGTTCCATAAACCCTCATAAGCTTCCTTGGTAGCTGTTATATCTTCTCCTATTCTTTGGGCTAAGGGATTTATACTATAGAAATATTGTTCAGCTCTTGAACTAAGTGTAGCACTCATCTTTTTGAAAGAATAGAATATCTGAAATAAAACAGAATAAACTTCTATTAAAATAACTTAATAACAATACAGGAAATATGAAATAAAAGATAAAGCACAAAATTGTGGGTGGAAAAATTCAGCTATAGGTTACAATACAACAGAGACATTATAAGACAAGAATGATTAATTTTCGACAACTAAAAAAAATTTCTGATGCAAAATACCCAATAACAATAAATATAAATTGTATGACATGGTACTACCTATACTACTAGTATATGGAAAT